GGGGGGGGGGGGGGGCTCCATCTTCACCTTAGGGCCGCCGGGGATCCCTTACGCCTTGCCACAGGCTTTGGAATGGGCTGTGTGTTTGCAAGCCCACCAGGCTGGACCAGACGGCTCGGAGCTTGCTGCGGGTTTGCTGCCGACGACCTGGGCCTGGGGTCCGCTTGGCCCCCGCCTCTGTCATGAGTGCTCCAACTGACCGGGGAAGGGGCTGGAGCGCTGAATTGGGCAGCCTTTCCTGGACTTCCCTGGGTGTTCTCGAAGGCAGTGAGAGTAAGGAAGCGGGTTTTTAGATGATGTTCTCGGCTAGAGGACATCAGGTTGCAGTAGGTGTTGCTACGGGGGGAGGGTGTTGTGCTTGACCCCCAGCCTCAGAGTAACTCAGCTGGGACATGGAGCAGAAGGTCTTTTTGTGAACGTGTTCCACAGAGAGAAGAATGAAAAAAAATAATTTTAAACGTGAAATGCTTACTCTTGAAGTTAGGAATTTCGATTCCGTGTTTTGTAAAGGCAAGCCCTGAAGAACGAGAGCCAGGAGTGTCTCTGGAACTGTAATGACTTCATATGTGCAGAACTAGGCCTGAAACGGTTCACTTGATGATGCTTATTTTCTCTCTCTTTAGATTTTGTGGTGGATGCAACCCGCAAGGGTAACAAAATCCGTTTTGCAAATCATTCAGTAAATCCAAACTGCTATGCAAAAGGTAGGTGCTAATGGAGCCAGGATTCCCAAGAGAGGCTCTTGCACACCAGTGCTGGACTGGAGTGGCCCTGGGACACATGCTGGTGTGCACGGGTCGGGCACTCCTGGGGCCTGTCTTCACGCGACTCACACCAGTGTGTGTTTCTCGTTCCAGTTATGATGGTGAACGGCGATCACAGGATAGGGATTTTTGCTAAGAGAGCCATCCAGACGGGTGAAGAGCTGTTTTTTGATTACAGGTTGGTAAGAGCATATTTCTGGTGTGACCTGAGGGCTTTCCCTTCCTGAAGTCTGAGCTGTGGACAAGGGCTGTCTCTTCTCTCTGTCAGATCTTCTATTCTTAGAGGGATTTGCTCCTGGTCATTATTTGTCAGGGGCAGCGGTGGGCATTTAGGTGTACTTTCTTGGTAACGTAGTTCCCACCACACAAGTAATGGTGATTTTTGAAAGGCAGGCAGAGCTCGGATATTGCGGGTTTGTTCCCGACCACTGCAGTAAAGTGAATGGTAATCTTCCTGCCGGTGGAGGGTGGGGGCGGCGCTGGCGGCCGCTGAGCACCCCCCCGGGTGCTGGGCGCTGGAGGCCGGCGCGGCCGCGCGGGTTCCCCGGACAACCGTGCAGTTCCCCGCACCGACGGCTCGCCCGGCAGCGCGCTTTCTCCGCGGCGGGCGCATTTCCCCCCCAGGACAGCTGCCTTCGGAATGGGAGTCGGTCCTCTCGGGCCCCGCCGCCGCATCAGCCGAGCTGCTGTCACGCGCCGGATCCTTTGTCCCCCCGGGAGGGGACTTGGGAACCCCCGTGCTTGGCTCGTCCCGGAGCAGCACCTGCTCGGCCGGTCCCGTTTGCTCCTGAGCTTGCGGCACGTCGGTCCCCGCTTCAGGCCGCGCTCCTCGTCCTGTTCTCCTGCTGCCGCTTCGTCGTCCCGGTTCGAGAGCACGGGCAGAGCGGACTTAGCCTCGTTCTTGAGCGCCCGAGGGTTTTCAGAACGGCCCTGAGCGCCGGCTTCAAGTGCAGGTCACCGGCCGCGTTAGCCCCTCACGAGAGGGCGGCCTGTCCCGCGGAGCTTGGCAGCCGGGCGCTGCCTTGTCCTCGGCGGCTGGGGAAGGCCTGGCTGACGTCTTCTTCCGAGAGAGGGCCGCTCCGCCGGCGCTGAGCATCTGGGGTTTCGCGCGGCCTCCTTCATCGCTTAGCTCAGCTAGACCTTCTGGAAAACTGGCCGCTTCCGCGCGCTTTCCTGGTTACGGAGCCGGCCTCTTTCCCCGAGCCTCCTGCGCCGGCCTCTGCCAGGTTTCCTGGTGCGCGTCTCCCCTCTCGGCCGCCCTAGAGCGGAGGGGAGTGCGGGCCTCGCTCTGGATTAGGCTTTGGCTTAAGGGAATGTGTGGCCGGTGTGGTCTCCTGTCCAGACCACTGTCCCTGTCCCCAGGCCAGCAGTAAGGCTGTTTTGCTTTCTTAGCATTCTTGTGTTCACTGAAGTAGCACTTTTTTTTATCAATCTTCTATACCCAGCATGGGGGTCCAACTAACGACTCCAAGACCAAGGGTCACACGCTTTTGCAACTGACCCAGCTGGGCGTCCTTGGAGTAGCACTTTTAATTTCCTTCGAGACCTTTTCCTTTGCATTGACGACTTGGCTCACTGGCGGAAGAGGTCTAGCTTCCGGTGTATCTGGCTTTTCAACATGCCTTCCTCCCTGAGCTTCATCGGTTCTCGTTTTTGATTTAAAGGGAGACCTGCGACTCCTCCTTCACTTGAACACCCAGAGGCCACTGTAGGGTTATTAACTGGGGACTAGGGAGGCAGGGGGGTGACAGCCGGTCGGTGGAGCAGTCAGAACGCACATGCCGTTTCTCCCTCACCTCCATCAGCCCCTGTGGATGCGGTTCGTGCACCCCAATCACAGTAGTAACATCCACGGTCACCGATCACAGATCACCACAGCACATGTAATAATAATGGAAACATTGGAAATACTGTGAGAATTACCAAAATCTCACCTAGAAACACAAAGTGGGCAAATGCCGTTGGAAAAATGGCACCAGCAGACTCGCTGGAGGCAGGGCTGCCGCAAACCCTCGGTGGGTGGGTCGGTGGGGATGTATTTGTGAGGCAACACCATGCGGTCTGCCCGTGTGGGGAAGGAACGCGGGCAGCCCGCGTTTGAGCCCGCTGGTGACGGCGTTCCCGTCCGGCTCCGCAGCGAGCTCGCGGATTTCAGGCCGTACTGGGCTTCGGGCAGCAGTGTATTCTTTAACTGCTTAAGTACTTCCTACAGCCTGACCGTTCAGTACTTTCACGGCCAAGACATGGCTGGCTCATACCCTACCTGGTCGGCGTCTGGGTCCTTCCTGTGGGAAGTCGTGCTTGCTGTCAGGGTGCTGAGGACACGCGGCCCCCCTGGACCTCACAAGCGTCAGGCTGGCAGGGTAGTCTGGGGGGGGTGAGTTGACAAGAACGTATATTTAGATGCAAGCAGAGGACTTTGTGGCTGACTAGTTGTCCCCTTAAGAAGCTTAAGTTTTGAGGATTGAGAACGAGGCCACGTGTAGCCACTCTTCATGGCACCTGCCGCACAATGGCAGGCGAGCTCGAGACCACCCGGCCCGGAGCCGAGGAAGGCCCCCTCCTGCAGGGCAAGGTCACGGCTTCCCCGTGCGCGGCGGCCGGGGTCATGGTCCCGGCCACATCGGTCGCCTTCCAAAGCAGCGTGTCGGGGCCCGAGGGCTTCTAGGGGCAGAAGCCGGGGAAGGGTTGTGCGAACGGGCCTGTCCAGGTCTCAGCTGGCCTCGAGCGGGTGCCCCAGCTGCGGGCGGGCGGAGACGCGGGGCGCGCTCACGACGCGAAGCAGGCCGGGGCGAACGCTCACCTGGGCTGGACGCCGGCTCATGCCTTTCTCGTGCCGTTTCAGATACAGCCAGGCTGACGCCCTCAAGTACGTGGGCATCGAAAGAGAAATGGAAATCCCTTGACGTCTGCTACCTCCTCCTTCCCCTCCTCCTTTCTGGAACAGCTGCCTTAGCTTCAGGAACCTCGAGTACTGTGGGCAATTTAGAGAAATAAAATGCAGTTTGAAATTCTGAATTTGCAAAGTACTGTAAGAATAATTTATAGTAATGAGTTTAAAAATCAACTTTTTATTGCCTTCTCACCAGCTGCAGAGTGTTTTGTACCAGTGAATTTTTGCAATAATGCAGTATGGTACATTTTTCAACTTTGAATAAAGAATACTTGAACTTCCTCCCGGTGTTGGGTCGTTGGTACCGGTCTGTCCATTCCCAGGACCGCGGCTCAGCGCGGCGAGGAGAGCAGTCCCCTCCGGCTGCTGGGCGCTCGAACACCGCGGGGCAAAGTCCTTGTTCATAGGTAATACCAACAAACATAGAATACATATTTATGGCATATATAGAAGATACATGATGTGTATAATTGATAATTTGTCAACACCAGTATTGCCTGGTAGTAAGTGAAAGCTGCCCGTCAGGGACGAAGCCTGTGAGCCTCGTTCTCCACGTGGCCAATCGCAGCCGGACCCGCCGGGTACAGCTCTAAACTCCATGGAAGGCCTGGACTCAGACGCTCAGAAACCGTTCCTGCCTACGGAAGGGGATGATAGGACCAAACTCGTTTTCTTTCTTGAAGAAAAGATTCAGACCCCCCCTCCCCCAATTCGAGCGTCACGGCTGGATTGACAGCTTTCACCAGCCTGGGGTTACATAACGTGGTAATACTTAATGTGAAACGTATAAATAAAACCTACCTTTCCAGTTACACAAACACGGACAAGACTCTGGTCTCTGCTGCACTGATGCATCCGCCGTAGCAAGGCCAGTCCTAAAATAAAGTTAATTGCCATTTGGCTCTGGCAACGAGAAGACCTGGCCTCGGACGCCCATGTCGTGTGTGCTGCTCTGCTCTTCTTGGCTGTGTTTGGTCTTGTAGGACATGGGGACAGACCGCTGTCTTCCCCGCCCCGAGATGGCGCCATATGCTCAGCGGGCCGCTGCTGACCCACGGAGGGCACCTACGGGGCTCGCCCGCGCTGGTACGTCCCGCCCTCGGCATTCGACTTGGTTGCAGCCCATTTATTCACTCTCAGGCAGTTGATGACCTGCCCCACGGGATCTCCGGATGCGGAGCTGCTTCTAGCCCTGGTTTTTCTACTGTTGACCGCTCCCAGCCTGTCCCCCGCTGTCAACAGCTGGGGGTGGATCCTTGAGTCCCGGAGGTCCTGTTCGCTCAGGACACCAGAGACCCACATGCATCCTCCAGACAAAGTACAAATTTTCACGGAGAACAGTCATTTTGAGCACCTCACAGCAAGCTTTCTGTACCCGGATTTGAAGAGCACCTCTCCAGTGTCCTGTTCACGGTGAACACAGATTCTCCGACCCAATCACATGTGACAAAGGGTATCCTGAATCACATCTGGCCTGCTTTCGATTTTCCTTTATTTATAAAGCGGCAGGGGTGGGCCACAGAGCTTGGCATACAAAGTATTCAAACACCCAATTAAAGCCAAAATGGGGGGGGAAGGCTAAATTTAAAAATAGAGTGCCCCCCTTCCCCTCCACTGGGAGGTGACTGTGTGTGAGCCTGGTGCTTATTTCCCAACAGAAAATCTAGGGCTAAGGAGGACGAATCTAGGAGTCAAGTACTGCATCAGGATAAAGATGGGTTTCGATAGTTTAGGAATATCCTACCTTGTTCATTTTGGATGGATGACCACAGCCTGACAAGGTTGCCCTGCTGGCCAATTTCTGTGCTGCCACTGGTCATGAAGAACCACGGGCAGGTGACCCAGGGCTGTAATGACGGTCTCAACATCCACAGACCAAGCCACAGGCAGATCTGAGGGCACTGAGAACTAACATTCTGCTTGGCAACATTATTTTCAATCGGTAGTTTCTTACAAAAACGCAAACTATAAGCATCCATCTAGAGGCTGCTTAATTATCTTCCAATATTTTCTTGGTGTATTCAATCTCCAACCTTCACAGTAGCCATTCAGTGACGCCAAGTCCTGGCTTCCACGGACGTGCGGCAACTGCCCCTGTCCCCACAGCTGCGTGTGAACTCACACCTTGCGTAATTTAAACGTGTACGCAGGTCATCACGAAAGGTTCCTGATGGTGAACATTTTCAAAGAACTTCAGTATTCTGTTGATCATTTTAGGAGCTTTGGGCTTTTACTGGAAAGAGCTGAAAATGCGTACACTTCAGCCCCCCGTTGGGACAGGATTCGAGAAGTGGTCCAACAGATCCGGTGGGCAGAGCCTTTGATGTGACCTGTCCCTCCAGGAAGGCGGCTTAAGAAACGTCCACACTCACCTGTGAGGGCCAGTCCGTTTGGTCTGCCACTGGACAGGTGCATGAGGTGAGGTTCAGGGAACAAAAGCAAGTCACCCAACCAGCCAAGTTACTGTGATTTCTAAAAAAAAAAAAAAAAATTAAAAGGGGGACTCAATTCAGGGATCGCAGAAATCCTGATTTCTTTCAAAGGAAAATTAGATACCAGTGTTCAGCAAGGAGACAGGCCAGTCAATGGGAATATTTTAAATTGCAGGTGCCCTTGTTCCTCTACCCACTGTTGTCCCCTTACCCGAGCCACCCGGGGCCTGAACGGTAGTGTTCCCCGCTGCTTTCCCGCAAAGCCACTGACAGGTGCTTGGGCACCTGTCTACACAGGCCCGTCTGACAGCGGCCCCGCGCGGAGAGCCTGGTACCCTCAGAGACTGCTGACTAAGGTCCTACCGTGCAGGTGTCCTCCCTGGGTGAGAGGAGCCCGGCCCCTCAGGCCCCGGCCTCCACGGCCTGCAGCCTGGTGGTGGTCCGTCAACCGGCAGCCCGCGCTCTCCCCCTCCGGCTTAGCCTCTGCACGGGGACCGCGCGCCGCAGGCCCCTGGGGACCTCGGAAGAGACCTGTGGTTCGTCGGCCCGTGTGGGACCTCGGTTTTCGTGGCTGGCATTCGGAGGCACCTCATTTTGCCAGACGTGGGCAGTTTGGGGAAGAAAGGCAAAACGCACAGAGTTTTTCTTTCTACACCCGTGCAGTGGCCCTTTACCGAGTGTGAGAGGAACGGGGACGGGGACGGGGTGAGCTCGTGGGAGGGCCGCCTGACTCACCCGCTTGCTGGCCGCATGTCCTGCCGTGTACCCCGGGGTCCCTTCTCCATCTGGGACGGCTTCGAGACCCCGGGCCGGTCTCAGGAAGTCTCTCCCACCTTCGACAGAAGGACACAAGCACTGAGAGGATGTGGGGGGGCAAGGCCAGCATGCGTGGGGAGCCCCGGGCACCCCTGCTTTCTCTTTACGGTGGGAATCTTTGTAAATCTGGGAAAGATACATTATAGACACCGGAAGCTGTGACATGAACACTATTACCGTTGTTTTTATCCGATTTAAACAAACCTGCAGGTGCCAAAGCTTCCAAGAAACGGGGGGAACTGCACTTCTGCGTCTTCCACATGTCACTGATCAGGGCACGGGTGGAGGTGCAGGTGCTCCTGTCCCTGGAGGAAGCCGGGCCGTGGACAAGAGTCTCTGCCACCACCTCCGTTCCCTTCTGTCCCCTGGCCAGCAGTTGACTGCAAAAGGGGCTCGCTATCACGTGGCCCAGCCTGTGCAGCGCGGCTTGGAGCTCGGGCCCCCACGACCCCCGCCCCGCCCCAGCTGCTGGCCCGTCAGCAGTGGGAGGCGGGGGTCTCGCCGCTGTCCTCGGGCCAGGGCCGGGGGGCTGTCTTACCAGGAGGAGTGGACGTGCTCGTCCTGAACTGTCGCCCGCGTGTGCGAACCACTGTCGGAAGCGGAGGCGGGCGTGAGCACGCACGGGGGCCCGTGGCCGTGGGGACAGGGTGGCGGAGAGGCAGGGAGCCGGCACCAAGCCCCCCCTCTCCCCGTGGCCCCCACCCGGGAAAGGGGGCACTCCCCGCGAGAGGCCAGTCCTCCCGAGCGGCCAAGAGGAGCAACACGCTTCCAGCAAGTCCCAGAGAGATGCAGGAGCGTGTGGGGAGAGACGAGGGGGCTTACGGTTTTAAGATGCAAAAAACATTTTCAGTCTGAAGAATGCAGCCTTTTCTACAGGAAGACATGGGATTATAAATCTGCACAATCATTACAGCTTTTACTTACATGTAGGAATTAGTAAAACTTAAAACAACACCAAATGCGACTTGTACAGAAATCCTTTAATTTTCTTTATTTTCACACATTAAAAAATGAAACACACTATACAAATGGTTTTTCATAGCAGATTACACGTGGGTCCATTAGCCTTGCTCTCAAAGTGCTGCCAACGCTGTAAAGCTGCCAAGGACGACAGCAGTTAACCCCGTAGCCGATGGATTGATTTAAATGCAGTAGCATGCAGCCCTCAGCAGGGGAGCCTCGAGGCCCCTCTGTTCTTAAATTAGGTTAAATGGCGTTGGCGTCCATATTTACAGACTTGAAATGTATCAATCCTGAGCAGTTCTGATGTACACCTGAGACCAGCTGCTGGGGAGTCTCGGTCTCAGTTTTAAAAAGGGAGGTCCAGATGGTGGCAGGCTGGCTGCTATGAACTTGAGTTGTTCTCTCCACCAGGAACTATTTGCTGTGGGTCGCACAGTCAGACCCTTCTAGAAGGGTTAAGCCAAGTAACTGTAGGTGTCCTTTTCACCGTCAACTCGCTCCAAATATTCTTTCTCGATCAGAATGTCAATGCATTTCTGGGCATTATTTTAAAAAAGGGAGAGGTAGCGAAAGGGGAAGAAAAACACGTTTGTTAGCAGAACAGAGCTGGCCACCCTCAGCAGGGACGCTCCCCCCCGCCCCCAAGAGCTCAGTCAGGGAGTGACTTCATCCCCTGCGCCCCTTCAGCACGCTGCTTTCCTTCCCGGGCGGCCAAGACCTTGCTTTCCAGAATGGGAAAGTGCCCATTCCGTCAAAGTCCCCGCTGAGAGGGGCCTGTGTCCCTCCAGGCCTCCCCACACCCCAGCCACTGGGCCAGGCGCCGCACCAGCCGCCAGCTCCCGGCTACACGCGACCCCAGGGGGTAGAGGGGGCCTCCCGCCTGCCGGGGAGTCACCGCTCAGCTGCCGCCCTCGGGGGCTCCGCACCGGCTGCTGTTCAGCCACGTGGTCTCAGAGAGCCACGGGGTTTCTATTTCCAACAGCCCACTAGACTGAGGCAGGTAGCCATCGCCCAGAGCTGCGGTCGGCTCACACGGGGGAGGACCATCCAGCAGCGAAGGTGCACACGCCGTGGACAAACTACGGCCCAGGCGATCACCCCCAAACGGGCCGAGGAGCGCATCCTCGGCGGACACAGCAGAGCGGGAACTCTCTAGAAGCCGGTTACACCGAGCTCCGAGGGAGGCAGCACTGCTGTGGGGGGCTACAGACAGGCCGGAGGGGATTCTACGGGAGCAGAGCTACTGGCTAGGAGGCAGCAAGGGGGAAGCTTCTGGAATGCTGGTCACCTTCTAACCTCTTGATTTGGGTCTTGGTTGTACAAGTGTATTTACTTTGGGAAAATCAGCAAACCGAACACTTAGGATTTGTGCACGGCTCTGTAGATGTAGAGGTCAATAAAAAGGTTTAAAAATTAAGCTTATTTTCTTATGTAGAAACCTGGTACGTATGAATAAGCCAAGTTCCTTCAATCTAGTTTTTGTTACACCTTTTCTCTTCTAACGTAAGAAACGGCGTGCTACTGCTAGGTGATTCGTGTACCTTAATTACTGGGACCCGCGGTTTGAATCTCGAGGACAGCTGAGTGAGAACTTCTCCAAGCAGCTGCTGGTGCTTGAGGACCTTCCTCATCTTCATGATCCTCACGATGGCCGCCTGCACCACCCAAGGGGGGAAACCAGGATGTCCCACTGTTAGAGCCGCCCTTCAACACCCAGGACCACTAGCCAACAGGCTGCTGTCCCTCCGCAGAGGACCGTGATTTCATAAACGCTAACAAGCACATGGCAGGATACGATGTTTCAACTCGAACGTAAGAAACATCAGTGTGTTTTAGTCTGGTCTAATGATTTTGCCCAAGTACAGAGCACTTCAGAAACGAGAAAACACTCAGTCCTCAGAGCCACAGAGGCCACCTCACCGTGACCCCCTGGCCCCGGCTCGTCCATTTCCCTGCCCCAGTCAGAAGCCGCTGCCAGCCTGGCGGCCACCCCGACCCACACACAATGTGAGCCCGGCTTCGATCGGCCACCTCTGCGAGGTGCACCACCCGACGCGGGCCCAGAGTCACCTGAATCAGCAGTTTGCGGTCTTCCTCAATATTTTTGTGTGTGGTTTCTTGTTCCTGCTTCTGTTCGGTTTTCATCGGCACGTTGATGTTAACCCTTAACTTCTTACTGTCAAGACATGAAGGAAACCAATCACTGTTGTTTCCAAAGACAGGCGCCGAAGGCTTCCTTCCGTTTTCACTCTGTAAGAAGTCCCCACTCCCCAAGACCAGGGCAGAGGGCACGCGGCCTCCCACCCAGCCAGGGACAGGACACGTGCATCACGGGAGACTCAGCGCCTTCCTCTGCTCTCCCAAATTTGGTCAAATGAAATAAAATCAAGTCACTCAGACACAGAAGTCCAAACTTTCTCGCGGAGCCGTTTAAGGAGCCGCCTGCCAAATGCAGAAACCACCAACACCTGAGATGGAGTTGAGTGGAGGAGAATCTAGGATCCTCAGACGGAACCCCCGCCGGGTGCTGGGGCCACCCCACGCCACGCCCGGCCCCCGCGTGCAGCCCCGTTGCAGATGGGGGGCGGGGGGAACGGACACACGAACAGGAGTCTGTGGTCTAGAACCACCTACTTAGTAGGTTTTCCTTACTTTTTATAACCGAGATATAATTTTATTAAGGTATCTGGCTTCAATTCCACCTCATCAACATTGGCATTTTCGTCTTCCAGGACCTGTCAAAAGACAAGTGTTACTACACGGTCTCAGGACAAGGCTTTGTTCTAGCTTAACACAGAAAAGGCCCAAACATACCAGTAACTTCGACTTCAATAAAATCTGTAGGACTTGTGCCAAAATGTCCTGCAATTAAAGAGGAAAAGATAAAGAAAAAAAATACATTTCTCTTTGTGATACAAACCACATGCGATGCCATCATTCGTTTTCCTCAGAAACACAGCAGTCACCCAAACAGAAGGATGTACCCAGGGAAAAAAAGAGGTGTGCTTAAGGGGTCCCCTAAATTCACTATTGCCACCACCAGCACCCACTTCAAAGTGGAGCCAACCCCTTTCTGGCCTTGACCACCTAGTAATAAAAACCGACGACTCACGTTCAAATACTGAAACCACACTGGATGTCCTCACTTAAACCTACAGGAACCTCTTCTCCCCTCAGCTGCCTGACAGCTCGTCTTGGACACGGATCACCGTGAAAGTAACGTTCAAGGGCTCCAGCAAGACCGGAGAGCACTCTGCTCCCGAAGATGATGGGGCTCAGTGGCAGCTGGGTGCCCCACTGTCGATTTCCTTCGCTGAACGCTAAGCACCATGTGGCACCTCTGGCCGTTTCCTAGCCTATAAACATGGGTGGTGGGTCACTTCCCGGCTCTCCTTCGGCTTTGGGATCCCATGACACCGGACAGTACCATCTGCCCCTTGTCCCCTGGATGCACACCCATCCCCACCTCCTACCCCGACGGACAGAGCGGGCCTGCCCTTGCCTCTAAGGAAACCCATTCTGGTCCGAGGGCACAAACCTAAAGCCACGAAAGCGAGGGGCCTCTGGTCTAGTGACCAGGCCAGACCCGCAGAGCAGGACTGGGACGCTGCCGGACACATCTAGAAGGACGCCGGCAGGTCTCACTCGTGAGCCAGATCTGATGGAGGAATGAGTGTGGAGCGGGGAGGGTGCTCCCTCCCCGCACGGAGTGCTACTCTCGGCTGCAGACCAGTCGAGACGGGTGCAGAGAAAACCCATGGACCTGTCGGCTCTGCGGAGCAGGTGGCCAAGGGCAGCACCCTCCCCACAGCCTGTGGCGGCCTGAGCCTCTCCCCCGATGCGAGTCCTCCTGATGTGAGGAGGAACAAGAAAGACTTACACACAAAGGGGCAAATCCAGTTTGTTATTAGAATTTGCAGATGTACTTTGGACTAACTTGAAGCACGATCAAACAATAAATGATCTTCCTGACATTCAATGAGGCCAGTATTACCCTGACAGCAAAACCAGGCAAAAACATCCCAAGAAAACAACAGACCAATATTCCTGTGAGTGCAGACGTAAAAATCCTCAAGCAAATACAAGCAAACCAAGCCCACCAGCATATAAAAAGTATTATATCCCATGCCCAGGTGGGGTTTACCCCAGGAATGCGAGGTTGCAACATAAGAAAAGCAATCAATCTACCACGTTAATAAACAAAAAGCACATTTTTATCTCAATAGAGAAGCAGTTTAACCCAATTCAACACTCTGTCATGATGAAAACACTAAAAAAAACAAACAACAAAAAAAACCAAGAATAGAAGGGAACTCCTTTAATAAAGGGAATCTAAGAAAAACCTATAGCTAATATCATACTTAACAGTAACAAGCTGAAGCTTTCCCCTAAGATCAGGAATAAGACAAGGATGCCAACTCACACCATCTCTATTCACCACTGTACTGGAAATTCTAGCCAAAGCAATCAGGCGAGAAAAATAAAAGGCATCCAAATAGGAAAAGGAAGTAAAACTAGCTGTACTTGCAGATGGCATGACTGTGTATAAGAAAAACCACTAAAGAATCTTCAAAAAAATTAAAAAATGAGTTCAGCCACATCTAGCAACGAACAAACAATTCCATTTACAAAAGCACCAAACACAATACTTAGGAATAAATTTAACCAAAGTGCAAGACTTGTAGATATAAAACTATGAAACACAATTTAGAGAAATGAAAGACAACGTATGTGAATGGAAAGCTGCTCATGGTCATGAGTTGGAAGACTTACTACTCATAAGACAAAGATTACCACCCCCACCCCAAGCAATCCGCAGATTCGATGCAGCCTCTAACAATGGACAAGCGAATTCTGAAATTCATATGGGAATGCGAGGGACTCAGAACAGCCAACACAATTTTGAAAAAGGACAAAGCTGGAGGTCTCAGTTTCAAAACTTACTACAAAACAGCAACCAAGATAATGTGCTATTGTCATAAAGACAGACATACAGATTACTGGAAAAGAATTGAGAATCCACAAATAAACCCATCCACCTATGGCCAACTGATTTTCAATAAGGCAGTACCAATCAACAGGGAAAGAAATCTTTGACCTTGAATCAGGCAATGGTTCCTTAGGACAACAAAAGCACAAGCAATAGAAGAAAAAGAAGCTCTATGTACAGAATATATAAAGAATTCTTACTACTCAACAATAAAAAAAACAACCCAAATAAAAAATGGGCACGGGCAGAGGATTCAAGTAGACATTTCCCTAAAGAATATATATATATATAAATGGTCAATAAGAACCTGAGTAGACACTCAACATCATCAGTGGTTAGGGAAATGCAAATCAGAACCACAATGAAGGATTGTTTCATATCCACTAGGATGGCTATAATTTAAAAAAAAAAGAGAATGACAGATGTTGGCAAGGGTGTGGAGAAACTGGACCCTCCTACACGGCTGGTGAGCCCCTGAATGGATGCAGCCATCGTGGGGCAGTTGGGCTGTTCCTCAGTGAGTTAAATCCATCATGACTCGGGTATTTCACACCTAGGTATATACCCAAGAAAACTGAAAATACGTTCATACGACAACTTGCACACGAATGTTCACAGCAGCACTATTCCTAATAATTAAAATGTGGAAACAACCCAAATGTCCATCAACTGATGAATGGAGAAGCACAACGTGGTCCATCCATACACTGGAATGTATTTCAGCCATAAAACAGAATAGAAGAGATCTATACACTATCCCATGGAGAAACCTTGAAAATACAAGTGAAAGGCAGACAGAAAAGGCACATACTATGACACCATTAACACAAAAAATTGCCCAGAGTAGGCAAATGCACAGACAGAAAGTAAGTTAATGGTTGTCAGGGGCTGAGGAGTAGAGGGTAGTTACTGCTACAGGCTAATGGGTTTCTTTTTGGGATGATGGAAATGTTCTGGAATTGGACGGTGGTGGTTGGCTGTACAACCTTGTGAAAACCCACTGAACTATTTACAAATGGTGAAATTTATGTATGTGAAATATGTCTCAATAAAGAACACGACTGATAGGAAGAATAGCATGATAATTAAGTGACATTTGAGCTTAGTAAGAAAAGCCTAGCTGTAAAGAGGGTTAAGAATGGGTTAAACGAATGGGAGAAAGCATGTTGCGCTCACATTTGTGCGTGCGTGTGCGTGTGTGCGCACATACGTACACATGGTGTAGGTTACACTGAGTTTAAAAATGAAGTTTTTAAAGAACGTGCATCATTTATAGTCCTAAGGCAAGTAGCTATTTCCAATCAAAGACCCCCACGTCCTCTCCCTACTCCCTCCCTGCAGTGCTCACGAGACTAAGGAGACAGCGAGGTGACACATACAAGAGGCCAAGAAGCGCTAAGATACCATTTTGATTTGAGTGCTGTCGGTCAACTGCTGCACAGCGTAAGCGTCTTCCGTGTTGTACTGAAGCAGGATCGCCATCTGGAAGGTGGATGCCTTTGAGGCCCCACATATAAAGAAAGAGAAGCAAAATTTAAATGCATGGAAAAACCTCCAGAAATCCAGAGCTTAAGTCTGACAAACTTATTTATGAAACAGATTCTTCTGATAGATGCAAAAAATCAAGCAGATCTATGTAAAAGAGAATACAAAGTGTCACAACTCCACCATAATGCAACGTTTTCCTGAAGGACATCATTTCCCACCTTTCAAACACTGAAATAATTTCAAACTTTCTTCTATGACGTTTTGTGTACGTAAATACACGCTATTTATGCATCCACGCTCACTGAAATTTTGGCTCTGGGATCCCGAGGAAGTCACTTAAATTACCCCGGGTCTCAGTTTCTCCTCTCAAACTGAAACAGTAACTACGCAGTTCTTACTAGTCAGTACTTAGTCCTGCGGCAAGCACTGAGGGTTACTATTAACGTGAAACGAATGTTCTGCCAAGGGAAAAGGGCTATTATCATAATTAAGTACACTAAACTCCAGCTTCTGAAGCTACACACATAGTGTGCGTCAGGTGGGAGCTGTGCCAAACGCTTATTAAGCATGTTATTTCACTAAATTTTCACATCACTTCCAAAGCGTAAGCACTAGCACCCCCATTTTATGGAGAAGGAAACTGAGGCATCAGTAAGTCACCTGTCCGTCAGTGAGAAAGCATCAGGGATTCAGCTCCTCTCACTCTCAAACCCGGGCTGTTTGAACCACTACAGGACTTTGCCAGAAGCTTAACTCTATAGACTCTGTGGCACCAATCACTGGATTCTGAGTTCTACGATTTGTCTTACCCTCATTTAGACTTAAAAACTATATATATTCCAGAACAGAAAGGTGATCTTACCTGCAGAGTGTATCTATTTTTGAAGCAGTTGGTTACCAGTTCTCCTTTGGACAGTTGATACAACCAAGTCAATTTCCTGCCGCTGTGACGGCTGGCGTAAAAAGCCGTGAATCGCTGGTAACTACGCTCCAACTGGACAAGAGGACAGACAGCACTGTGTGGAGTCGCTACCTCACCACATCCCACAGTCAGCATTTTTCAATAAATACACCTTGCCAAGTTTACAGGACAAAGTGCTTAGAACATAAAAGTAAAATACAAATGTAGGTGTTGGACTCACGTAGGCATTCGAGGGTCCTATCGAGAACCATTTCTAACCGTAAGGCACGTAGGTTACCGTCGTGGGGTTGCAGCATGGCCCCCAGCCGCCGCCCTGGGGCCCGCCCCCCCCCTCCACCTTACTGCTGCATGGCCGGCCCCCGGGAAGGCCTTCTGCAGGCACCCTGGGGGTCAAGGCCAAGGTCCCCCTTCTCATCTGCTCAGCACTAACAGAACCCAAGACGAAGCCACCCTTACCTCCGACGGCAAGGCAAACGTGCAAGATTGCTGGAAGGGCCACGACCCGGAGCTCAGCACTTGAATACTGAAATCCACTGAGGCGGGGAATGAAATGCAGGAACACAGTTAGTCCCATGAACTGAACAAGGCTGCCGTTCAAATAAACGTGGACTGCCTTGTATTAAAAGAAACATACTGAATGAAAAACTCTGTTTCAGTATAAAATGAAGAACTGACCATATCTCAGTTAAATTATTTCACTCAATTAAAATGAGTAAAAGGGGAAAGAGCCAGAAACGCTTTTTCTCTAGAGAGGGACAGTTTTTCATTTCACTTCTAGCTCAGACTTCTGACACCGTTGGCCTGCTCTGCCCTGGTCGCTTGGGTTTGCTGCTGGGCCTTGGGGCCACTCGAGTGCCCCTGAGCCCGCCCAGCACAGCCACCCCTGGAGGCCCCAACTCAGGAAACAAAAACCCCAAATGTAAACAGCTCACTTCAGGATGTTCTGTGTAGCCCTCGCGACCACCAACACTATATACAATATAAACTATAAATTAGAACAGTAATACCATCATCACAAAGAGCCGAGGAGTCCACTGGCCTCCCTGCCAAGTTTAACAATGGAAGGGTTTAGTTTTGAGGAAAAGTAAAGTTCCCATTTTTTATTTAAAAAGACAGCATTACCACGTGAGGATGTCCGCATCATCGGCCCACGACCACCCCCGCGGACCTGACAAGAGGAGTGTGGCCTGGCGCCCAGCCCACCCACATCTGCACACCAATCCGGAGCCGTGAGATCTCTGCTTAGTTCAAGGCTGTCATCGATACGGCCAAGTCCGTTTCTCTTCATTTAAAAAAATAAATGCTAGATTGGATCCGAACTAAGGTGAAAGCAACTTAGGAAATATTGAACTGTGTGTGGAGCCCTGAGCTCGCAGGTGCCCAGGGTGGGGCGGCCAAGTCAGCAAGGGGGAGAGGGCAAGGCTCGGCGCCCCCAGCTCTCAACCGGCTGGGTCCCCTGGGAAAGAAAGGCTGACACGCTCTGTGCCCTGTCTTCTTTTTTTTTTTTTTTAAAGATTTTATTTATTTATTTGAGAGAGAGAGAATGAGAGACAGAGAGCACGAGAGGGAGGAGGGTCAGAGGGAGAAGCAGACTCCCCGCCGAGCAGGGAGCCCGATGCAGGACTCGATCCCGGGACTCCAGGATCATGACCTCAGCCGAAGGCAGTCGCTTAACCGACTGAGCCACCCAGGCGCCCTGTGCCCTGTCTTCTAACGTCACCAGGTCGCAGGACTCCCCTAGCGCATGTGGGAGGCACTTCCTACTTGTCTGTCCCGGGATTTCTGAGAAGGCATCACGCAGCTCTACTTAGTATTTTGCCACCCCTCTCGTTTGCCACAAAGGGCACGAACTTCTCTAAGAACATGGCCTGTGGAAGCAGCCAATGCACACGTGGGTACTCACAGTCCAGCGGTTCTGAATTCGTCAGGTGCTTTTTGAACTGCTCATTCAAATCTTTGCTCACGCCAATGTCTTGAAACATCCGCTGCAGTTTAGAGGTGTATTCAAACCCACAAGCTTGCTGAAATGGACCCAATAAGTGTCTTAGTAACTTCTATCAAAACCTAAGTGTACACAAGGGTATCTGATGGAAATCCTACAACTGTACCAAAACTACCGCTAAAGCTGCTAACACTGGACATCTTGCACCATCGGTGTGTCCCCATTCAAATGAACACACTCTCCAAAGTTACACAGCCGTAACCAAGCAGCGAAATCTTGACTCACATAGTAACTTTCCTTGGAGCATCGAGGAGAAAGGCTATCTGACAGAATACAAAGATGACATATTTTATGTCTCTTATCCCCTACTGTGGGCTGAACTGTGTGTCCCCTGAACTCGTCTGCTGAAGCCTGACCCCCAGTGTGATGGTATGGGGAGGTAGGGTCCTGGGGAAACGACTCTTCAGAGGAAGTCATGACGACAGGGCCCTCCTGACGGAACTAGCGCCCTTGTAAGAGGAGACCGGAGTCTGCTCGCTCCTCACCACGTGAGGACAGAGCGGGGAGGTGGCCGTCACCAGACTGGGAGGACAGTCCTCACCAGAAAGTGGATCAGCCAGTACCTCGATCCTGGACTTCCAGCCTCCAGCACTGTGAGACTACATTTCTCCTGTTTAAGCCCCCAGCCTGTGGAATTTTGTCATGGCGGTCTGAGCAGAATCAGACAGCCATCGAACTATAATTTCAGGTCACAGTGAAGTATGTCCACCACACCTAACAGCAAGCACGGCGACCAGCACGGGCTCAGCGCAGAGGGGGCCGGATGATGAGCCAACTGCTCCACAGCCCTCCGGCACATACAGCCGCAGACACTGAACTAACCTCAGAGCGAAACAAAACACCCAGCACCTCAAAGCCCACCGAACCCAAGTGTGGGCTGAGCCCCGCTGCGCGGTTCCGATGCGTGAAGGCAGAGCGGAGGCCCAACACGCGGAGCCGGGAGGTGCTCGGGGGGCGAGCGCAACACAGCCCGGCCTGACAGGACAGCGGGGGGCGGGGGGCTGGCCGGTCACAGCCCTCCCGTCGTGGGGCACTGGGGACCACACCACCCAAACTCGCGATGCTGCCCAAGGACACCTGCAACCACTAAGACCCCTCTCGGTGACTTAAACACGGGCCTTTTCCGGGATAGGGTTACATCTACCTTTAACTTCGAGATCATGCTTGCTTCGGCGTCGTCGCTGGCACTGTTCTGATGCACGAGTCTCTTGGCCAGCATCTTCGCATAGAATTTCTGAAACACGTCTTTATCCTCTATATACTTGAAGACCACCATCTAGCGAAGCCACCAAGAGAGTACACTCAATGCACGTGCAACCCGCCGTCCCGAGCCCGCGCCCGCCGCCGCCCCAGCTGCTCTGCCTGGCCTGTGAGCCAACGTGTACGGGGCCCAAACTACCACCCGCAGCCTCGAAATAGCTGCGTCAACCCCTCAAATCACAGTAAGTTGGTCTAGACTTAGTACTCGTGAGAAAAGTACAAATGCTAACATTAACGACTCAATTTAGGGAGTAACACCACAGATTCAAAGTAAAATAGATGATCCTATTAACTGTCACATTTCAGATGCCCTATACAAATAAGCTTAAAACTTATAGACAAACGGCTGCTGGAACCTGGCGTGGTTAGTGAGAAGCGCCTTACCACTTGGTTGAGCGTGTCTTCTAGCTCGGCTTCTTCTGGGTTCTTGGAACTGAGATTAAAAAAAAAAAACAAACAAAAAACGGCATACTGTTTTCAAACAAATCGGCAAACATTTAATCGGCAAGCACCACTGAACCGAACTAATGTGACAGAATGTGGCCGTGAACGTCTGACCGATTGGCTCTCTTCAGATCAGTGCACAGAGAGGCGGGCAAACTCTTCTTACCTCTGGCGGTGTGGCCATCTTATACTAACCCTATCACGGAAGAATCCATTTACGAAACAATCGTTTAGGATTTCCAAGGTGAAATTCAACAGGAGATACTTATTAAAGTTCCAGCAAACATTTAATTTTCCTTTCAGATAATCTATTTAAATACAAAATTAATGAACTTCACTTTGGCAACTGCTTTCTACCATATGCTTTACCTTACCGTTGAAAAAACCAAAAAGGCATATCGTTTTTGAATGGCCTCATCATTAAAGATAATGGAAGGGTTTAAACCATTCAAGTGCTGCCTTCCTCTGTGGTTCTGTGTATGTAACAGAGGGTTGTCTTTAACAACGGATTCTTTCTCTTCTATGAACAAGTATTAACTGAAAGGTGATTGCAGGGTAAACAACATTTCTAAGGTTTTATGAGTCCCTCATAGACAAGATCCCCATACATTCGTATAAAATGATCCAGCCACCAAACAAGCTCTGGAAAGGTGCTTCAACTTAAGAATAGCTGGCTCAGGAAATCTAGTCCTGTTCTTCACATGGGTAGGCCAGGGCGGTTTCTCTCTCTGAAGAGTTTTACTTCTTAGCTCCGTTCCCTAGCGCGTGCTCACTGAAGCAACACTCCCAAGTGCCTGCCATTCTGTCTGCTTGACCAGCCTGAACTAAGAAATAACAGAGCAAGAGACTTGATGAGGGCCCCTTGTGAAAAGGCAATGGATAAAAAGGACAATAAGCGTTCTGCCAAAACAATGAAGGTCTACTAAAGCACACGATTAATATATTGAAAATGTTCACATAACCTAGCCTTAAAAAAAAAAAAAAGAAATCAGGTCAGAAGAGGCATCCCATTTTAAAGTCCATTTTTATTCCTGGAAGGATCTGACCAGAACTGCTAAACTACACACTGACCAGCTTTGCAATAAATGGAAAACAACCCCCAAACACTCCATTCTCACTGGACTTGGGAAGATGGCTTTCTGGCAAAGTCAGAGAGGGAGCCAGGGACCTTATCAAACGTCTTCCCATGTCTGTCAGGAAGACCACATACAGTTCTGTTAATACAGTAAATTACATTAAATTTGCTACCGCCAAGCCATCCCCACATTCCTAGGAAACTATACTATGTTCTGGAGAATTATTCTTTAGTTCCCTAATCAATTGAGTCTGCTAATATTCGACTTAGGATTTCCCCAACTCTATTCTAGGTGAGACTTGTTTGCAGTGTTTTTCTTGGTCCGTATAGGTATTCTTAGTTTTTTTTGCAATGGGGTTACACGAGCCTTCAAGAGGTGTCTATTCATCTCAAAACCAGGACAACATGGAGGCCTGGGAAATGACTGTGTTTGCTGATGGATCTCTGGAAAAGTGAAACCAGCCCTGAGCATTTCTGAGCTGAGAGAAGCTGGTAAAGTGAAAGAGAAGCTGTGAAAACCCAAACACACACATAAAACCTGGAATACCAGAAGCGGAAC